ATATTCCGCCTCCTTTTCCGCACAATTAAACGGCTTAATGGCTTGTCTTGGCGAATATACTTCCAGCTTTCACACTCACGTTATGTTACTTATCTTGTTCTCGGAGTGTCCTAAGGCCGGGCCTTGTGTGAATAATGAGGTTTAGCGACTGTGTCACCTAACCTCTGTTTCTGGTCAGGATGTGTGTATGCGTGTTTGTGTGCATGTATATGTGTGTGTGTGTGTGTGTGTGTGAGAGAATGTAGACGGTTCCTTTGACCAAATGTGTGCAGTCATGTTCCCCTGTCTCCGTGAATTATATCAGTCAGTGTGTGTGTGTCACTGTTATATTTACCCTCACCGATCCTCTGATCGTGTGTTGTCTGGCTGTGACAGGCAGACGGCCTTCCCTTTCTCTCAGTCACAGATGCCTCTCTGCACTGAGCGCATGCTGCCAGGGCCCAAGTGACAGCAGGCAACGTGGCCCATACTGCCAATCAGTCAGTGACAGACATGCAAGTTGTTCCAGACGACAACCCTACACAACAAAATGTCCACTGTCTTCTTGTCGCTGCCATTAGCGATGGAATAAATAAAAACAGCATTCTTCTAACCATCTGTCCTGATTCTTCTCAGCTTATGAGTTTTGTCTGGTGGAGTATCAGACCATCACAATCATGTGTATAACTAAAGCTAAGGCTAATTCTTTTTGAATCATGAGGGCATATTGGCTGGGCATGTTTACACATACAAGGAATTTGACTCTGGTATTCTCAGAATATAGTTTTTATTCTTTCAACGGGATGAAAAAGCACATCTGCATAAACGTTAAATGAATCACTATAGTTGCCCGAATTGATCTTTTTCCTGCAGTTGAAAAAAAAAAAAAAAAAAAAAAGAATTCCTAACACAATTTCCACTAGAGCTGGGTGATGAAGTCTCTAAGGGGGATTGCTGATTAAAATCCCACTGTAGAAAGCGAAGCCATTATAAGAAGCAGCTTGGCTCCCTGACACGGTACAAGTTAAAGTAAAAATGTTTTTGTTGTTGCTTCGTCATACTACTTTACTACAATTTAACACAAGTTTCACAAATGTATCCTTTAAAAATGTGTAACAGACAACCGGGCAACTTTCGCCCATGCTGAGTTTAACTAGTGAACCTTCAATTACTGTGAAAAGGGGAAAAACTCTTTTCTTTGCCTGTAGTCCTTTTAAACTACAGCTCATGAAGGAAACAGTATCCATGAAAGTAAACCTTTTATGGATGCTCTTTTAACGAGAGCTAACTTACGTACACCACAGATAAAGGACGTCAGCTGACTCTCAAGACAGAATCGAAATCTCAGACAATAAAACATTTTACAACGAACCCTGATGAGAGGCTATTGCCGAACACAATGTACTAGAAACACTTCTCTCAGTGCAGGCTAAACACTTGCATATGGTCATTTTCAGCAATAATGACTGTTTCAGATTTTTAAAAAACATTGGTAATAGTTTACAGCTGTATATATTTTTTTCCAGCAGTGTGAATATAGTCTTTACACAGAGAAAAAAAAAGGGCTGAATCAAAGTCTTTAAATGCTTAATTCTCACAGAACTATGAACTTCTGCTATACCATTCCTCCAGGCATGTGACATCATTTCTGTTTCTGGAACTGGGCAAAACCATGCAACACACTTTGCAAACTGTAATGATTTAAAGGATGTCTTTGCTATTTACCAAAAAAAATCTAAATAAATGCTCACAATGATGGACACTAAATGCATTTTGTTTAAAAGTCACACAACACACACACACACACACACACACACACACACACACACACACACACACACACACACACACACACACACACACACACACACACACACACACACACACACACACAGCCCTACACCATGTGATCTCATTATACCTCACATAAAACCACCCACTGTAAACCGGACTTAACTTAAGAATGACTTTATATGTGACCAAGCAATTTCACATGCCCTATTGTCAGTATGTATTTTTAGCTATGAAGATTCCATAACAACAATACAAATATTGATGCAAATGATCACATGAACCCAGCATGGTACACCATGTTTCCTCCTGATTGGACTGTAGTCAACCTGCAATTTGTGATCTAAAACATTTTGTTTGTCTATATTTCATCCCCCCCCCCACTCCCACTCCCACCTGTCGTTTTCAAGCGCATCATTCTCAGAGCTGCTCTGTTTACAGTGAGATATTTTTTTTTTTTTACTGCGCCTGAAGATACAGACAAACAGAGAGAGTTTGAGCCGTGGCTTCCTGTCTGCCTGCAAGTAGAGGAACTTTTTATTTGCACTGCTCTGATTTCTCTGCTTACCCAAGCTGCTGGTATGCACCGGTTAGTTGGGGTGGGTGTGTTTGTGTGTCTGTGTGTTTGCCAAGTTTAAATACTTTGAAGAGATTAAGACACTGACGTTTGACTGACTATCCTTTTCAGATGTAGCCTAGTCTACATGAGCCATATGCGGCCAGGGATATTAGAAGAATCTTAGAGACGGTGCATTGTGAACAGCGTGGAGTAAAGATGATTTGTAAACACAGTTTTCACTCCCTTGAGAAAATAAAACAAGACTAAAGTGAGTTTGGTTGATGGGGGCGGCGCTCGGTCGCTAATAACAACGTGACCTACATTCCACTGACAATTATGCTCTGCCGTGATCACAGAAGTGGAAATGACAACCAGCATGATCAACAGGTATTCGTCCATGCGTTCAGGCTCAGCTGGGAAAATTTTCACGCTCACATAATATTTTTTTAGAAACTTCCAAGTTGCAAATGTAAAATTCCATTGCAATGTGACAACGTAAAAGTGCTCCAAAGTTGTTAATCAAAGCCAGGGGGGGGGACTCAGTCGTGTGTCATAGTAAACCAGTGTTTTCCTACCTGCGATATCCCACAGCTGTAACCTGACAAGTGTCTTGCTGTCCCAGTTGATAACTTTCAACGCAAAGTCGACTCCGATCGTCGCCCTGTAGTGCTGCGAGAACAGCTGGTGCACGTAGCGTTTGATGATGCTGGTCTTCCCCACGCCTAATTCCCCGATGACCAGCACTTTGAACAAGTACTCCTTGCACTCAGACACCGAGCCCCCGGCCATGCTGATTCTGACACTTGACAACTTTCTCTCTGAACTCAGACAGCTTCTGCTTTCTCGCTCATGTAGGCTTCCTGTCGTGTGAGGGGGCTGCTGAGGACTGAACGGGCTGGTGTGCCAGGGGAAGGGGGGTGTCTGAGGGTCAGACGCAACGCAGATTACATTTGTCTCACCCCACTTTTTCTGACTTTCCTTCTCCTCCTCCTTCTCCTCCTCCTTCTCCTCCTCCTCCCCTCAGACACCACCTGATAAGTCACAGGACCCGGAAATGTGAGGGAAAGTTGACATATGTTTGAACGAGAGTTTCCTCGTGTTCCGGCGATTACAGTAAGCATGATTATGATGGTTTCATGATTACAGTCATTTGTTAGTATTCAAGCTCCAGGGATTTTTCACGAGAAGACAAATGTTAAAGTCCCCTTGTTGTAAATTTTTTTTTTTTTTTACTTTAGTAGGCTAAATATATAAGAATAATCTATTTGGTAACATAGAATAAGCCTTCCTCTTTTTTTTTTTATCACAGCGAGCAGGGCTGAAAAAAGGAAATTTGGTGGGGTAGGTCTTTAATTATAAATCATTTTTAAAAACTTTCTTAAAAAATATGGTAAGCCTATATATCAGAGACATGGGCCTATAGGGACATCAGTCCGACCTTTACATAGTTATGTATTAAAATAAAACAATATAGACCTTTATTAAATTGTACTATAGGCTGTATAAAACATAGTGTCAATGTCACCCACTGGATTTCTGAAGTGCAGTTTTGAAGCAAAACCATGCAAGTTGCCATATTGGAAATGATTCTTCCTCAACCATCGTTTACCGAGTGACCGACAAAGCAGTGAAGATGAGCTGGGCCTGAAGCTTTTTTGGCAAGCAGATACATTGGCCAGCCAAACCTATAATTTTCAATATGAAATGATATATAATGCTAATTCTAGTACTAGTTATGATGATGCTAATTGCTAAAGTCAGTGTTGAAGACATAGTGCTGGAACAACTGGATGAATGGAGGAATGTAAGGACACAATGAGGCAGACCAGGAAATAAGAGGACTGCCTGACTGAGCTGCATTGATACTGTAAGTCAGCATCGGTGTCTAAAAGTTAGCTCTTTTTGACATTTGGTGTGGGCCTCATGCTAAAGTTAGCTAGAGCTAACTGCTAGCTAACTGGAGTTGTTTTTGAAATGTTAGCTAAATTGGCTTTACAGTAAAGTATTTAACTATCAGTGTTGAAGATGTTTTTTGTTATGGCTTAGGTTTTTGTAAATCCAAAGAGGCTTTTTTATGGTGACTGTGATTTGGTTAATGATTATTTGTGTTTGTTGTTGAGTTGTTTATCCATTTGGTTTTGTTCAAAAGTATTCTACACAGTTAATTGGTTTATTCAGTAACATGCATTTCAATTCTAGTTTAATCAACTTGAACATTTCTGTTGTTTTTTTAAATAGTACTCTGCAGCCGAATACATATAATTTGATGTTTTTTTAAAAACTGTTAGCTCCTGTCCTGCCCTGTCATAGCTCACCCAACGACAATGCCCTCGGCCTTCTGTTAGGAGCAGGTCCTCTTCCAAAGAGTTCAATATGTTGTTATACTGTGTTTCTACAATAGAAAAACCAAACAAACTAACTGTGATGTCGCAAATTGTGCTTGCAAGTACTTAACTTAAAATAGTTTTTATATACGAGTAAACTTTATACCTCCAGCTCAGATTTGCATCGAAGTGAAGTGACTGTAAGTGAAATACATTTCATAGTAAATAGGATACTTTGCCTTGAATGAAATATTTGTAAATATTAAGTCTGACTAAATCTATGGATATTTCTGTCTAAATTAATGAAACCCAGTTAATCAGTCTGTCGTAGGCATTAATCAGTCTTCTTAATATAAATAGTTTTTATTTTACAGCATTGCTCAGCTTGCCCAAAACATAAAGGCCTATGTCATTCTAGATTTGACAGTGTTAAACAGGTGGCACCCTCATATATTTTACATTGGTTAAAATCATTGAACAACTTACACTATAAGAGACTAAAAACATTTGGAAATACAATACAATTGCACTATGTACTGTATAGGCTTGTACTTTGAAATAATCTTTATTCTTATAGATAAAGAACTAAGAAACTTAACCTCAAGTAATCTACTTAAATTTATAATGCAAGATTGAAGCAAAAAATTGAAACATGTATAATCTCGTTACAAGAAGCAACTAATCATTGGTTACTTTAACAACTGAATATTTTCAAGAGGATACAAGTTAGCTTTTAAAGTTACCCAAAAAACCAAACACAATGCTCCGTGACAAGTTTCTGAGGACAGTTTCAAAATGTATAAACTTCTTTTTTTCTGTTGACATTCTAAATATAGAAACATTTATCAGTATTACAAACATACCACCTGTGTGAAAAACAAGAGATGGCTTAACAGTATTACAAACTTTTAAGAACTCGTACAAGTACTGTGTGTTTCATTACGATGACACAGCAAACTCAGAAAACATGAGAAATATCAACACGGCATCAAAAAGCATAATGTAGGTCTTTTATCATGTCCCCCAAATGTGTGTAAAATTTGTTCTCAGGGTTATGAATGAGTGTAAACTGAATACACACAACCGATCACCTACAATCACGCTATAACCTGTATCAGCTACAAAATTTGAAAGCAGGGATGTAGGTCGATACAACTGCGATTGGCACATGACTTTTTTACATCGTATATCATACAGCGCAAAGTTTTAGCAGAATCGTTAAGTTCTAATGCTTTTGTGATGAGCACACTTTGTAACACATAAAAAGTAATATTCAACCAACTTACTGCACTTTTCTTATAGTTCATCTCTTTGTAAAACTTAAATCGTGATGAGGTCCGATTACAAAAAGCTAAAGTGAGATTATAAATGACAAAAGGCAAAAATCAAATAGTTTGTGGATGCAGCTGTTCCTGCTGCACATATTAACAGACCTGCACGTGTGTAGCAAAGGAGAACAGAGCAAATTAAAAAAAGAATGGCATGAAATGCACTTGAGCTTTTACGCTCCCCAGAGCTGGATGTATCGTACAGTTCACAAACAGTAGACACACATTGAATTGTGTTTCCCTTTCTGTTTGTTACTCATAGACCTCTCTGAATGCATCCCCACAGCTACATCCTTTCATTGTGATTCTTGATGTTGCTTAATTCATCAAAATTTGGCACGACAGCTGATGAGATTTGGCACTGGTCCCTGCTTTACATTTTACAGAAAGGCTCTGTGATAAGACAGCCCTTCAGGAAAGGTAGCACTCATTGATGATTACTAGTGTTTTTCTACTTATAGTTATGATAAACCCCTTACCGATAAAAGCAGGATACTAAGTACAAGGAAGCTAATGAGAGAGCATAAAATAAATGTTAGAAACCTTAGATGATGATCAAATCATGTGGTTGTAAAGTATGCGTCTGTACATGTGTGAATTTGTATTTGCGCATGTGTAATCTGTATATGTGACAATGAATATCAGTGTTGCTCTCACAGTGTTGAGGAGCTGTGTGCAAAGTCTTGGAGGATGTTTGAGGTGTAGATCGAGCTCGAAGGGCTTCCGAGCATGGACTCCATGGCAAGGGAGCCGCTCAGAGAGTCTCCCGAGCACACAGAGTCTCTGAAGGGGGAGGGGGGCGACAGAGCAAGGGAATCCTCCAGAGTTGGCTTGCTCTGAGTCAAATCCTCGCTGTCCCCGTCCTCCTCCTCCTCCTCCCCCTCCTCCTTGGCATCATAAATGTAGCTGTGTAAGAGGTCTAGTTCCTCGTCTTCAGGTCCCTCTTCCTCAAATGCCCCAACTTTAAGGGCTTGAGGAAGCGGAGAGGATATCAGGCTCAAAGGCTCATTGGCAGGGAGGGTCTCCCTGGTGGTGTAGTCATTTAGTGCAGGGACATAGGAGCTGTGTGTGTCCACCACAGCCCCTTGCAAGCGCTCCGTGGCGCAGCCCTTCAAGTTAGAGGGCAAATAAGAAGCCGGCTTATTCAAATTAGATTCCAGCCCTTGTCCAGAGGAAGTTGGGGTCCAGAGGGGGCGCTGGGAATCGCCCTCGTCATCCTCCTCTGACAGGTTGTACAGAGGCTTAGCGGCGCGCGGTTCTTGTGAGGGATGGTGGTCTGTGCCAAGGTCGCGGGACGAGGGCTCACAACTGTGGGGGTCGGGGTTGTTAGTTAGGGGCCTGATGACCGCCGTCTGATTCAAGCCGGCTTCCTGTTTCCTCACATGCACAGACAGTCTGTGCCACACATTCCCCCCCTTCGGAGGGTGTCTTGCACCTGATTCAGACCATGACACAGACTTGCCATTAGAACTATGAACGAGATAAAGACCCAAGTTACTAACACTGGAAACCGGCAAGTGGTTGCAGAGAAAACAACATCAACACAGCAGCAACATGACAAAACAGAGCAGCAGCATTTCAACATTTCTGATGCATGTTAAAATACAGTCTAGTCACATGACATTAACAGCACTGTTAAGGGGTTCAGTCATGAGCTCCGAGGAGCCAGTGATTCATAATGTGCTGAAGACAGCGTAATGATTTTTAGATCACTCATAACACTGAGCATATAGAATTTCCTCCTTTCTGGGATATTCTTTTTGGTTAAAATGGGACGCATGCTTTTGAAATAAGTATGTCAGTTGGTGCCTTTACTGGCCTGAAGACGACACAGAGTTTGGAACAGAATGAGCTAGGTCTGGCTCTGATATGATTAGTTAGAGAGATGGGGAGGGGAGGGGCGTTCATGCTGAGAAAAGTTAAATGTGAGGTTAATTCAGGATAAACCAAAAGCAGCAGGGTGCCAGTGCTACTTCTTGGAGGGCTGCAGTGTCAAAAAAAAAAAATGACAGAGGTAATTGATTCCTAAATTTCATAAGGTAATTTAAACCACCATGAAGGCCAAGTGAACTTTTTTTTTCTGGTTGTATTTAACAATAAAAAATGTCAGTGTCTGTGTTGGCAGTGCAGCTCTCCAGAGTCGAATGACACCCTTGCTTTAACATTAGCCAGCCTGGACACTTGCAGACAGTATGCTGCTCTCTTCAGAGTGTTAAAGGTGTTAGAAGATTAAGAAGGCTGCATAACAAGGGTGAGAGACAACATGTAAACATATTGGGACCACTGTCACACCCTGCTCCACTTCTTACTTTAGACACCTGTCCATGTGTCACTGCTGTGGATCTCAAAAAAAGTTATATGCAAGTCTTATATGTAGTTTGAAGGTGAGAAATATATACTTTTATTAATAGATGACAAATTAGCATCAATGTTCAGCGTTTTGTATTGAATTAGCTTGTTTGTTAGATTTTATTTCACTGTCTGGGGGAGGGGAATGCGCCACATATATTCACCTTTACTGCCCACATTTTCTAAATCATTGTTTCACTTTAATTTTAGGTAGATTTGAAATGGTAAAATTAGACCAATAATATCATGCTTCAACACTCAAATATTTTTGCAAATATGTCAGATTTCTTTTGGGTGTGATTAGCCAACTTATCAATTTAGTGTCATCAACCCAGCTAGTTAGCCAAAATATCTCTACTGGGTATAACTTATAATGAATACATTTATCAATTCAGGCCCACAAAGCAGGTCCATTGTTGTGTCAAAGAAGCAGCCGGCCACTATCGAGCATTGTAGCTCTGATTAAATGCTACAGCCATACTGTAAAATGCTCTACTACCCTGATGTACACCAGCCCAGTGAACGTATGGCATTTGGCAGTATTTTGATGGAGAAAAAATTTAAGTTATGTGTAGGCTGTGTTAGAGTAAACTGGCATATAACCACTCAACCAGAGTAATGTGTAACCAACACAGGGATGTAGTCATTAACCTGCAAGGTGGACCAAAGGCTGGTGCTTGCATTGCTAACGTTAGCCTCACGGCAAACCAATTTTGACATTGTTTACCTGCAGATGCTGTGATCCGTGTCTATGCGTGTTGAAATAAATGTGCTCAATTTTGACTGTTTTCTGAAGGTATTTTCTTAACTTTAGACTGGCCGACTAGTAGTCATTTAAATTTGCATGTAATAAGACTTTGAAATTGGATGCCTAAGAACATCCATCAGTCATTTTAGAACTGCCAAACAACATTTTGGAAAAACTCATTGCACCATTTGAGTGTTTAGGCATTCATCGCCCCAGGAAACAACACAGAATCTGACAAGGAAACCAACTTAAAAATGATACTCACTTGGCTTTTCCAGTAACAGGCTTCTTCCGACGGAATATATTCAGGAAGTTGTTGCTCCCACACTGGGCTGACTTCCCGTCTCCCACATGCATTCGTACCACATCAGATGTGGTGAAGGCGCTTCGGACATTTCTCTCTGGTTTGGCAATGATAATGTACATTTTAGGCGTGAACATGCAGCCCAGTGCCACTGTCACACTGAGGCTGACGGAGAAAGACGTGGTTATGATCTTGTAGTTTGAGCCAAAATAGATGGGCACGAAGGCCAACCAGATGATGCAAGTAGTGTACATTGTAAAGGCGATGTATTTAGCCTCGTTAAAATTGGCTGGGACGTTTCGCGTCTTGAAGGCATAGTAGGTACAGCTCATGATTAGCAGGCCGTTGTAGCCCAGTGGTGCCACCATGCCTACGTTGCTTGTGTTACAGATGAGGTAGACCTCACGTATGCTTGGGTAGGACTTGATGGGCTCAGGGGGCTCCAGAATGATGAGTGTGATCTCCAGAGTTAGCTGCACACTGATCAGCATAGAGGCAAGGACCACCTGGGCCCAGGCGCTCATAAAACGGGGCTTCTTGGTGCAGATCTTCTTCTTGCTGCCTGCCAGGATGCGGGCGATGCGGTTTGTTTTGGTGACCAGAGCAGAGTAGCACATGGCAGATGATAGGCCCACTAGAAGTCGCTGTAAGTAACAGGAGGCCACCGTAGGACGGGCGATTAAGGTAAACGGACAGATGTAGCCCAGGAAGATACCTATCAGGATGATGTAACAGAGTTCTCTGCTGGACGACTTAACCACAGGTGTGTCACGGTACTGGATGAACACAAAGGTGACAAAGGAGGTGATCAGGATGCCCACACAGGAGAAAACCACTGCGACTATGGATTCCACATCAGCCCAGTCGAGATACTTCAGGGGCAGGGGCTGGCAGACTGAAAAGAGCAGAGGAGTTGTTAGATTTGTCTTTTGTTGTACATCTTTGTGAGAAAAAAAGGCACATGAAGACAAGTGAAAAGAACCCATGAGCAGACAGATGTACGAGTAGAGATGTTCTGATACCATTATTTCCTTTTTGAGACTGATTCCTATCTCGAGACTCAGCCAATTGCAAGTGCCCATGGTACCTTTGCAATGAAATAGGTATTCATATTATCTGGATTCTGAATGTCTTGAATGAATAATATAATTATTGCTATCATTATTGTATGCTGATGGAAACCTAAATCTTAAAACAAGCTGTGAACCTTTCAAACAGACTAGCACCTGTTAACATTAGTTATCATTGCTAATTTTAGCAACACCTAAGCTTAGATCTTAAACTTTATATTTTATTTACACAAGCTTCTGATATTTATTCTAAATTGTTTTATTTTGTATTTTTATTTGACTTAAATTGACTCTAAATGAAAAAGTAGAGTCTTAGCATGTGCGATAGCGACAATCCCATTGTTGACATTTGCTAGCTTTGACTTCTGCAACACCCTTGACAGCAGTGTAGGTTACTGTTTTGGAAAAGTCCAAACCATGTGATTTGTGATCTGTTGCACCACTAACCTCTGGTGTTAAAAATTAAAGACAATGCTGAATTGGAGAAAAGTGTCCACTTGAGTCTGGTTGCAAAAACCAAATAAGGAATCCCCATTAGCTCCCATTAAAAAAAAATGCAGATTTTTACAGCATAAAACATGTTTACAGACTGGTTTGAATAATTTTTTTATTCATACACACTGCGACAGGGTTGACATTTTCAAAAACTCATCCATTTCTGGTTTTTCCTACATTTACATAGTTAGGGACGTGTCTGATTTGACTGACAGGTGGGCACACTGTAGCACTCACCACCACCTCTTTATCTGCGACTAGATTGATTGAAAGTTAGGTTGGAAGGAATTTCCAATATAAAGGTGGTTGTTGGACTTCAAAACATCTCTACAGAGAACAATTGGTGACATCACTGTCCATATTTTATACAGTCTATGTATTAGAAGAACAGTGCATTATCTGGCATCGTTACTGGTACCTCACACTGAATTTTAGGCCGTAGAGGGATTTTTGACACTGGTATCAGAATCAGAATCTCTTTAGGTGGGAGAGAAGAGACCAACCCAGCAGACATTAGTCATTCAAGATGGCCTCAAATAGCTCAGTAACTGATTTCATCTTCCAAAGCAGCATTTATCTCAGATTTATCTGTTGCCGTCTTCCTGTAACGCCAAATACGTATGTACACACACACACACACACACACACACACACACACACACACACACACACACACACACACACACACACACACACACACACACACACACAGGTAAGTGTGTCAACTCTGTCATGATGCACTAGTTGCATGCTTGTCATCCACCACACAGTGGAACTTTGTCGAGCTTAATGGGAATAAAGTGACATCCCTAGACTTCCTCAGCTTAACACTTCATAAATTACATGCTGTTGCTAATAGCATTACATTCACTGACTATCATCACAAACACAGCTATGCACATGGGAACCCTTTACTCCAAATGTGTCAAATCATGAGACGTTTTTAAATAACCTCACCTGCCACCTCAAGAAGGAGGTTGGTCATTTTCAACACAAAATTTGAAATATACTGATGTAAAAAATGAAGGTGCAAACCAGTTGTTGCTCCAAAGTATTACTTCAGCAGTTCTGCAAAAACACACGAGGAGAAAGTGTTTGAAACACACTACAGTGAAGTATTGCTTTTTTTTTTTTTATGACCACCCACCCGGGTTGGCTACACTGTGTGCAAACGGACAAGGGTGGCAAGGAGGAAAAGCACATATCTTATACAATTCTTTCCCTTAATCCCTTATTCTCAAACTCTTCATATCTAGGCTTTGGAATGACACTTAAATAATTCAAAAACAAAGCTCACCTTTCTGTTGTACTTTACAGTTATGTTATGACTTGGTAAAAAAAAAAGTTAAAAAAAAAAAGAAGCCTTAAATGATTGAACATATGGACAGTACAGCCTCACTCTATGAATAGGACACCAACTATCTCTATTAGTATTCTCTAGATGTGACATGTAATGAGAGAGGAGGGAGAATTTCTTCCTCGACACACTGCCGAAATGTATCCCCAAGCCTCTCATGTCAGTAATAGGATTTTACACCTGGGAACTGAGAGCTCCTCTCAACTCTATAAATCGCTGTCAAAACAACCCCTGGGTCACCACCATGCAAGGAGCAGGGAGGAGGGAAGTGAGCAGGCGTCACTTCTATGAGGAGAACTGTGCAGAGGGAGCAGGGTCACTGTACCTGGATGATGAACAGCATCAGTAAAAGAAGGTGTCAGGGTGTGAAGTGTCAACAGGCTTATTTATGGGTGTAGGATGAATGTAGTCCAAGGGAAACGATATGTACTGTTTATGTGAGATTGGTGTTATGGGATATAAATGTTGAGAAAATGAAGCAGGTAAAAGGGTTGGTTACCAAGCAGCGAAAATAAGGAGATGTCTTGGAGATTAAGTATTGGGTATCAGCGAGTATGCCAGTTAATGCACTGATCTTCTTTCATAACCAAAGTCCCCCAAAATAGACCTATTTCAGGAAAATTATCATGTGACAATGTCAAACAATAACAGGGTGATGATAGTATATACTTAGTCAAACCTATAAATATTTTAGCAATCAGTGTTTTTCTATGAAAATAATGTTTTTTTTATTGCACCACCATCAGAAGGACATTAGGTATCAGCCACACTCAAGTCTAGGTTTTGGAATCTTAATCAGGACGGACAGAATTGTATAGGGACATCTGTAAATGGACCTAAAGTTGTCCCCAAACAGATAACAGTATTAATATTATCCTCTGACTCAGCCTAGACAGTACAGTCATGTATCCGCAAGCACGGCAGTCAACACTCCACTTACACCCACCTGCTCACAGAAACTGTTATATGGACAAAACTAGTGAAATGTTAGCAATCAGCATTTTCCACCTATATTATCACATTTCTTTAATCGCACTGTTATCAAAGGGTCACTCTGTATTGACCACTACTAAAGTCTAGGTATCAAAATCAGTATTGAGGAGGAAAAAGTGGTATCATAACATCTGATGTTTAAACGTGATTTTTTTTTTTCAAAAACCGATACATATCGACATGAAAGCATAAAATGTGGTATCTGGAATTATCCACGGATCCATTACCAAAACTAAACAGTTTTGGTAACAATTTTGTGTGTCACTAACAAACAACAACAGGAATGTGCTATCAGAGAGTGTTGTATTTTTCAGAGCTAAAAAAATTCATTAATTTGTGTTTTTACCAACAATATTATGGATTTTTTTTTTTTTTTTGAGTTAGAGGGGCACTTGGATTAGCAAACACTCAAGTCTAGGTGTAAGAAACAGTATCATCTATTAATGAAGTGACAGTGTCAGTCCCAATACAGCTCAAATAATGCATTAGGTGTTGGCAAGTATGCCAGTTTATGAACTAATGCAATACCTTACCCAACAAGGCCAAAAAAATGGTTTCCAGTAAACTATGTGACAATAACAAACTATAGAAGTATAATGCTAGCAGAGAATATTAAGTCAGTCAAAGCTAGCCAAGCTATTGTGTGTTGGTTATGATTGGTTGGTTAGTTAGTTCCTCCTACCTGCCAGGTCGTCATCAGGCCACCATCCCAGCTCACATGCCTTGCAGGTAAACTCATCCTGGACGTACTCATTGTCTTTGCACGTGGTGCAGATCCAGCAGCAGCTGACCTCACCCTTCCTAATCACCTGCACGCAGAGAGGCCACACATCAACAGTGAGGGGTCAAAGACATCTTAGTGAGCAGTCACAATACTAATCGACAAAATCCAAACATGAAAAGCACATCACACGCAACGCAACCCGAAGAAGTAGTCGGCAGGGATATTAAGGATGAGGATATGATGGGGCCTTTCTTTTAGTGAGCCCCAGACATACTGTTTATAGAACAAGGCCAGCTGCATTGCCATTCAGAACACAGGGAAGCTCTTGCCAGCACTGTGATATGTAAAGCAGGGTGATAAGTGGGGCAAGAAACAAAGCAGATAGAAGGGGAAGCTTGAGCCGCCAGGAAAGAGGATGCACCCTCCCCAAGGGCGACTTAGAGCATAGCTACTGGAGACTGAAAACAAATGGCTCCCGTTGAAGCAAATCAGGGCATTTCAGCAAATAAGCATTTTATCTACGATCCTGAACTGACTTTTTACTTAAGACCTTTTTTCCATCATATTCTGATAAGACTGGGACAATGTGTGCTCGTAAATTACAAATGATAAAGTCGTTGTATATGCTTTATCTTACTTAAAGCCCTTCACAAAACATTTAAATGATGAAGCAGGGTTCCAAAATGTAGGAAACAGTCACCAAAGGGAAAAAATAAGAACCCTCAAGAACTATTCATCGTGTACAACTGGTGACATAGTTCCAGTTTTAACAAAAACAAGTTGTTCAGGAGCACAGGGGAAAACACCATGTCTGTCTTAACTGATTGCATACTGTGCTTATTTTTAGTCTCACTAAGGGATGGCCATGTCAGATGGTCAGTCACTCTACCACCCACTCTAACAACTATTAGGTGGATTGCCATCAAATTGAATGTGTTTATTTATGTCCTTCACAGGCTAAACGAGAGGAAACAAAACAGGAAACAAAACATTTTGGAAAATATTTTTACTCATGTATGTTATACCTGACAAGACTGATACAATTGACAGTGTCTCCATAAACTTTAAAAAAAACTGCCTGCATCTTTAAACCTGAAGTAACATTTTTATCTAATGCATTTTTTGCTGAGGCCAGTTGGTAGACATAAAGTTGATGCTTCATGTAACACCCTAGGAATAGTCCAGCACATACTTCCCCCTAAAAACACATGTATTGATTTTACTCTTTGATTTTTGCATAGTTTAATCATACTAAAAAAAAATGCTGAGGTCTAAAGGTGTTGGTTGACTATGCAAATTTTGTTTCCTTCAAACAGAACAAAGCTAGGTGTGATCATGCTAAGTAATAGCTGGCTGTCAGCTATTACTGTAGACATGAAAGGGAATACCAATTGACCCCCAAATATTGACCAATAACTTCAAGCACCATCATCGGGTTTTCTGCACCTTTTGTTTGGTACAACCTGCAGTCTGATTTTAAACTTTGGAGTTTGGCACATATCTTCCAAAATATTGCATTCAACTTCGAATTATATTGAGTGCATGTTGTGCTTAAAGTAGCTACTTTTTGGAGACATGCTCATCTAAGAAACTTGGTGCAATGATAGACATTACCTGTTTAACAAGTGTATATAAGCATGCTGATGTAGCATTAGGCTCATTGCCCCTGTATGCTGAAGTACAGCCCCAGAGAGCCACTAGCATGGCTGACTGTAGACCCTCTTGTTCTAAAGGGTTTGATAGAACATTATCTCACTTGTGTTGGCATACTTGTAGATGATAAAGAGCAAGTTTTTGTGAAACCATTGTGTGTCTGCCATGAGAAATTACTCTTTGTGATGAAAGGTTTGCTACACGGAGCAGAATGGGTGCTAAATAAGATCTGCTTACTGGCATAGTGTTACATTGACACTTCAACATAGTTTTGGATCATTCTCTCAGTCTCAAAGCAAAGTCTCCACTGTTGAATCTCAGGTTTGAGGGTTTGCCAGACTAAATTTACTGCGGCAAAGTGAATTTAATGACAAAGGATCAGCTCGTAGGAGGATTTGAATGCCCACCTTAATCTGTCCTTTAGAGCAGGGCTCACTGCAGACTGAGCGGACCATGTCGCTGCTGTTCATCCACAGCTTGTAGTCATCGATGTTAAGGATGCCCTCATGCCAGGAGCCCACATTCATGTAGTCATAGCGACCATCACCCACACTCTGGAGATTCATGATGTCATACCTGGATGGAAAGACAGAAGGAAAATAATCAGCATGAATAAGTTTATGGAGTGAGAAGGGATAGAAATGAGACTTGATCAAAGAGAGAGAGCGGGAGATAAAGAGGGAGGGGAGAAGAAGAGAGTGACAGGTAATTTAATGATAACAACCTAACAGCTTAGCAAACCTTTCTTCTTATCCTGAGTCACTTAAACAGCGTACAACCCCGTTAGTGTGACATCAAGAGCTCATGCCAATGTGCACTGTGGCTCATTTCTATACTGATCCAGGATTTGCTCCACCTGACCTCTAGTTGACGGAGGAATGACACGGCTGTGTTTTCTCACTGTCAAACGCTGTCTTTTGGACTGCAGAGAGATGAAAGTGGCTGCCACAGTGGACAATCCACTGAATCTGTTCCAGTCCAAACTAATTAGATCCTTTGGTGCTTAACATTGGTGCACATGTGTGCTAATGAGTAGGACCGTTTTAGACAGGAGATATGCAAAGATTACAGCCAAGTAGATCTATAGACTCAGTTCATTTTCTTTCCTTCTTTTAAGCGTCCGCATCCTCTTACCTTCCTGGGGTGTCTCCGTTTTCATCAAAGTAAATCTCTTCCCCTGAGACGCCTCTGAAGGAGGTCTTCAGCAGGTAGTCCAGCAGCTTGCTGCCATCGATGGGGTCCATGGCCTCACAGAGCCCCGTCTGCCTTGGGCACAACTCCTTATGCATATCGTGGAGGCCATGAGCCATGGCATAGATGGCATTGATGACAAAGCCCATTTTACTATCCTGAACATAGTTCTCATGCAGACTCTCATTTCCTGTTAGAGGGTAAAAAAAAAAAAGAGGATGGAATCATTTTAAATTGAAGAAAATTCCCAGATGTTCTTCTGTTGAGCTCTGTTTTTCAAAGTGCAGTTTTGTTTCTGAAACAAAAAAAAAAGATTTGGTGTTTTTTCCAAAGTGCTTGATAAACTTTGAATAATTTGATAATTTACTGCAAAACAGAATGTTATTTTGCAGCAAGTTACATAAGCACACAAGGAAACCATAGCACAGTGTTCAAAAAGCTCAATAGGAAACAGATGTCTGGGAAAATCCCAGGACTGCAGACGCCAAGTTTTCCTTGTCAGCCATGTAAAGGCACGTCATTGTTTGGAGGGTGGAAGATTCTTAGTAAAAGTACATGATTTTGGATGCTTGTTTGAAGATATTTCTTAAACATTTCCCATTGTCTCCTAAGGAAGTGCATTAAAAGTATAATCTTTAGAAGGCAACATGCACGTACTGTGATTAGTCATACGCATCCTCTGTCAGGTGTTTGAGTGAACAGTGTTGAGGGTGAGACATTCCTTTGTGCTACTGTTGAGTAAAAGTTTGGGCTCATTTTCTTTTGTATTCCTCATACAGCATAAACAAGGCCAGTGCTCAGTTGTACTAGAGTTTGACTGATGCGATCCTTCACTCTGCGCTTTCCCAGCATCAAAACATCTCAGTTTTAAGACACTGAGTGTTGTGTAAAAGAGAACATCAGTCAAAGTCTTCCTGTCTTCGAGGACTCAAATGCTTACAGAGTGCGGGTGAAATTCTTTTTAAAGTCATCAGCATAATATTAGCTGTAAAAATGAACTTACCACCTTGAAGGTCTTGGGAATTAATAGATTATGTAACAATGTGATGCAGAGGAAGTAAAAAATAAGAAACTATGACTCAACTGCTCTGAGTAACAGACATCACAAAGCACTAATTGATTTGATTTATCATTTAATTAAAAGCATGCTTCGCAATTAATTCAAATGTGGTTATGATTGCATTGTTCATTTGATGACTTTTTAATTTTTTGATTTGGTGCAAGTAATTTTGAAGAAGTCATGAACACAATTTACCATGATCACCTTTTGGGGAGCAAAGGGAGAGAGTATTCAGAGAGGAAAACAGAGACAGATACAGTTTTTATTAATTACGAGCTTTAAAAACTCACCCTCAGGTCATATCTAACCCTTATTGCCTAGTGACAGCAATATGACAGCATGGAGAGGAATACATGAACCATAAAACAGTGTTCCAATCACTTCCTTTCAAAAATAGACATTTCTCCAGAGTACCCACCAGTGCAGACTTTCTTGTAATTCTTGTTCTCCTGTGGGTGGCCTGGTAGGCGGCATTGGAAGCGGTACTGCCAGAACTCAGCGAACCAAGGGTTCCTGTTGTTGGTGTCCAGACGCAGCTTCAGGTAGTAGTCATCGAACGTCTTGACCACCTCTGACTGAAGCTTCATGGTGATTCCTCCCTCTGCTTCCTGCTCAAAACCCTCCACGACCTCGTATCTGTCCGCCCATCCATCACTGCAGGAGACAGAGAGGAAGAAGAAGGAACTTTAGTTACACCACCTTAGGGGAGGACATTCAAAGATTACAAAACAGATAAAAGTCACTATTAATGACTAACAAAGAGAAGGTAGGTCTCTACCTGCCTTTTTGACAAATTTACCACAGATAACTTTGTGACGACTTGGCGCTATTTGAACAGAAATGATAAATAACCTGGTTGGCAATTCTCTGGAGTAGTGGTAACAGACTAAAAGACAATACAAAAGTAGAGTATTGTCTGGTCCAGGTGAAAATTGATTGAAAAGTTCCACTGAAAAGCAACAATTTAATTGCCATTTTTCTAGATTTTAAATGAGTTTCTGAATTCGGTAGACTAGAGCCTCTACTGTTTTAAAATGTTAAATTAGAGTGGCTGCTCTTGCTGGAGGCTTATCTCAAGTCCCTGCAGCCATCCTCAATTTAGGAAGGACGGAAATCTCAACAACAGTGTCTAAACAATAATTGCAAGCTTTCCACAATCCCTTCAGCTTCACTGTTTGCTAAATTGTTTAACCCTATAGGCCAGTTTTTCTACCTTAGCAAACTTATTTGGACACACAGCTTCTCATTTGTCCTAAACAGAAATGGATCAAACAAGCGAAGGTGACTCTGAAATACAAATTTACTGAAAAACAGCTCCAATCCGAGCCTTGCTTTTTCCACTAAATCTCAGCCCAGTGAGGGATCACAGCTTTATTTTACTCACAGGCTTTCTATCTTTAATCTCTGCTCTGGGCTACTGCCTTGAAATACCTGGGCCATTGACAGCTACACACCAATTAGGTGTGACTCACCAAGGAAGCAATTATCCTGCACACATGAGATGTTCTGGGAGATGGATGACGACATGTGTGTCTTCATTTTCTTTTGTGTGCAGGCCAAAGTTTCTGACCTTTACGTCCACAATTACTGTCAGTCATGGCAAAGCAGACATTTCACCAAATTCATGGGAATGTTTCAAGGTAACTCTACAATCAATGGGACTGAAGTAGAATATCTTTAAATTAAAGACAAAGGTCCTTACAAAAATCTGACAGGCGGTGGAGAAATCATCCTGGAAATAGTGCCCAAGTCTTGCAGTGGTTGTTAAAGTTTCTATCTTTGTGATCCTTTTGGCTTCTCACCAGTGACCAAATGTCTAATGGAAAATAGGGGCTGCCTGATAGTCTACCGGTTGTGCTCCCCATCTAAAGAGGTTCAAATTCAAAACTGACTTGGGCCCTTTGCTGCATGTCATCCCCTACTCTCTCCTCCCAACATTTCTTGTCTATCTCTAGCTGTCCTGTCCAATAAAGGCAAAAATGTGAAAAACTGACATTGCACTTCTCATTCCCTCCATGCTTTTTGATTTCCCTATAGCGCAGAGAATATCCTCACTAAAAATCTGACTGCATAGGTTAACGTTGCAACGGTTTATCATGAACCAAATGTACGTTTAAAATTTGACGGTTGTCTGTATTGGCTGTTGTTATTACAATGGGAACAAAGGCAGACATTTCTCACCAAGGAGACCAGAGTTTGAGACCTTTGTGAAACTAAATGTACATATGGACTTATCTTGACTGAAATCAGTTGTTCTTGGAGCAATGGTTGTAGGTCATTACTGTAGATAGAGCATCTGCTCCATGACTGAGGCAAAAAACCTTTCAGGTTCAACTGTTGCAAACCACTACAACTTTTATCACTTGTTGTTTACTGTCTGTCTCCAGCTGAATTAATTATTAAGAGCAAATCAGATTAATATATAAAAAGAAAATGTGCCAGCTAGGCCTGTAACATTTTTTCATGTAACATTACACAACAGTTCTCATAAAATAATCTGCGTATCTTAACGTTATGTATCCAACATAAAACTACAGTGACATAATTTAACAAATGTTAATTTTCACACTCAAACCACAACATTATTCAATCTTAACTCAGTAGTTTTGGTGCTTCAACCAGTATGCATCAATTTAGCAAGATTTACTCTGTTAAAGCCAATAGAGAGATTTGGCTTCTTATGTAGCTAATTGTTACAAAATTGGCTCTGTGTTACCCACAACCAGAGCCAGCAGCGTGTGTTCAGGGCAAGTTGGGTGCAACAAAAACAGGAAACAGAACAGATGTGTTGTAAATGTTCAGATTTGTTGACCCTCTATCAAAAGGTGAAATTCAGAAAATTCTGTGAGGTTAAAAAAACGAGCTCATAGTCTACTAATGTTTGGAAAATGTGATGACAATGTTCTCACGTTTGGTGTGTGTCGTAATGCAAGCTAATATAACTAAATACACTGTGCTGCTACTACTGTCTGCTTTTTGTTAGTCACTGGTTCCGTGTCTAGTAATGGTTAGAGCCTGACATTCAGCAACATAAGCACGCTTAACATAACCTACTGTAAAGTCTTGTTCTTCGGGTGATGATGCCTGCCTGTTATTTATCTGAAAATGCTTGCTGTAGTTTTGCTGTATTTTTAAAGAGAACTATTTAACATAGTCATCCTTTTCACTCTCCTAATTCAGTTTAAAGTCGAACACGTGAATTTCATTGGTTCTGGTCACATTTCCCTCATTCCCTCCAAGTGAATACTCTCTCTGTCCCTCCCCTTCTCTTTTAGTGCATTAAGTATGGAAGGCCACACAGACACACTCGCAACCTAAAAGTTGTTTCATAAAGTGTAAATCATAAACTTAACAGAGTAACTGCATGTATTATGGTCTGTTTATCACAACTCTGTGTTTTTTGTAGTTGTCCCAACACAACAGTATATAAAAAAACAGATTGGCTTTTAGATAATCAGAGGGGGGACGAAGGGCTTTGCAACACTATGAATGAATAATGCACAAGGCATTGAAGATATGCTTGGCTGTTTTTTTTTAACAGTGGGGTTTGTGATGAAGTAAAATGACATCCTCTCGTGTCGCTCTCCTCTCTCTGGATCACTAAGCTGTCTGGCACAACTCCAAACAGCTCATCAAAACTCTGGGGCCATCAGTGAGACGTCTAATGGGACTAAAATCTGATTTAATGTCACCTAAATGTTCCCAGAGTCACACTGCATATATTAAAAGGCCCATCACTGCATAACCTGAGTCTGATCGACCGGAGGAACACCTGTTTAAGCAGATTAAGGAGTCAACACTGTCCAGGTATGTCATTAGTTTTGCATTGGTGGCACTGAGATGGGACAGGGTGTGTAGAGAAAGCACATAATACCTGACATGATTACAATTTGAAAACAAAACTTATTTAGGATTTCACGATGCAACTAGTCTGTGATGATTAAATGCAGCAGTTAACAGATGAAGCTAACTTAGCCTGTAGAATAACGTTATTTTGCACAGCATCACATATGATGTGATGAATGGTTAAGTTTTTCTTTATTTCTCCATTATGTCATCAGGTTGATGTTGTAAAATTTGTCTAACATGTAAAAACTAAACAATATCAAGACCCCCGGACTAAGCTACCTTCATAAGCAGCAGTCTGACGTTTTAAATCTAACTATCCTGTCGCAATAAGAAGGCAGAAGCAGACGCTGAAAGGCCTCCGCAGTAATGGCGCCACCGTCTATAAAAAACAGTAAAGCTTTATCTTGTGCTCTCTATTTAAATACCTTTTTATCTATTATCTAGTATGATCATGTTTTAAATATGTATGGTATTTTAACTTGAATATAAGGTGTTGTGAGTGTTGTATGTTTTATGGTCATTTGCAGTTTCATGGTGGTTTTCTTTCAGTTTTTTTGGTTTCTGTACTCTTATGGTGTCTAAGTGAGACTTACGACACTGCATTAAGTAAAACAAGAGTTTCATATATCTGCTACAGATATCTATCTCTTGCTGTGGCTGCTACAGTCAATTGTGCAGAAAATGTAAACGGTGTTAAAGCATTTCAACAGCCTCTGCTCTCCTGCGTGGTGAGGACAATCTTACTAAGCTCTGAAACACTGAACTAAACTACAATTCACTCACTCCTAAATAAACATGACATGTAGTTGATAGTACCCTAAGATATCCAATGTGTGACCCATGAATGCATCACATGCACATTGACAGACAGGTTACAATTTACAGGTTTACACAGTGAGACTAACACGGCTTTCCATGACTGTACGAGAAAATAGATAATTTTCTTCACTCTCAACTTTCTAAATGCATCTAATGAATCATTTAATCCAATTTTTATCTCTGTTAGTCAAATCAGCTGCATGCTGGTCCTCTGATGCCATGTGCTTAATAATGATCTGTGTGTATTTGTAAGATTTACTGAGACTTGATGATGTGAGGCATTGTTTAGAGTGGCACAGCATGCCAACAGCTGGATAATTTATAGAGCAGTATACAACAGCAAGTAGACGGAGAGCTCCCCCGACTCCCCCAGATGATCCAGTTCCAGTTTGATAGCACATTTGTATATTTATGAAGCCATGAATTAATTGGCAGGGCAGAGATTTAATCACATGCGCCATTTCCCCTGGAGGATGAGTGGGAAGAGTTACTTTAAAAAGAGAAAGGGGAGGATAGGGGAGTCAAGAGTTTCCTAATTGCTCTCTGCCAGTGTTAAAATAAAAGTTCAGGTAGTTAATGGAAAAACTTTTAATCTGTCTGTCAGTCTCAGTCCAGGAAGATGTCAATCGGTGCAATGAGAGAATTACATAACTTTTTGAAAGTAAGTCTGTGAACCTAATGTAAAACACAAACTGACTTAATTTACTCCTGGCGTAAGCTATCGTCTCTTTTCTTTCTCTTTTTGCTTAGTTATACTGAGCGATTTTCAGCAAAGAAATGTGCCCTAATTATCAAAAGTAGTTCTCATATTGCAGATTGGCTTCTGTAAAAGTGAGTATTATCCCTGATGCTTGAAGAAGAAAAAAAAGACTTTTATAGCATCAAATATTCATGTGATTATGACTCCTTTTTCAAGATAACTCAGGCTATTTGAAAATTAAGAAAAATAGATCTGAATAATTTAGGCTATAGTAATTGAATATACT